TATGACTCTACAACCTACACTTAAACTAATGGGACTATGTTAATTTGTCTATGAGCGTTTTTAAATACTTGTTCCACTTTGCTTTTGCGACCGTTTTAAAACACTTGTTCCATTACCTTATTTGGAAAGTTTTTATAATATTTAAATTACTTCTCTCAACTAGTGGGACCCAATTTTATTATTTTTAAATTTTTTTCTCCAATTTACCTTTCATTAATCCCACTATCTCTATATTTTATTACTTTTTTCCAATTTCTCCTAAAACTACGCACGTGAAGAAATAAAGCAAGGTATTTAAAAATGGAAGGAGTATTTTTTTTTTCTCCAATTGAAATTAGAATAAATGACACATGCACGCAGTTTATAAAAAATAATTTTTTATTAAAAAAGATAGCAAAATAAATAAGCAATATTATGTGTTTAAAGAAACACTAATTAAAAATCGTACGTTGTTGTGATAAATTTATACGTTTTTCCATTTTAAGAAATGTATACGTAATACAAGTACGCTATACGTAGTTATATTACCCAGTACGCTATACGTAGTTATATTACCCTTTGATTTATACTGTATTCGTATAAGGTTGTAAAAGGATAAAATAGGAAATTCAAAGAGCGTTACGAGGAAGATTGAGGAGAGAGAGAGAGGTGTAGAAGTCAGCTGGCCAATAAGAAGATGACAGGTAGGAAAAATAGTGAAATACAAGAAGAGTGGCAGGAGTTGGGGGTTGGGACCCACTAATTGATGACGTGTTAATTGGAAGGAAAGTGTGACGAAGTTTTAGAGGGAATTTTCCTCCCAATTTCCTATTTAAATATTTGTTTGTAATAATTTAATCCAATATTTTACTGTGGCTGCGTAGGACCTTCTTAGAAAGAAGATTGTGACTGCTGTTGATTTGACTATTTTCTGTCATTTGATGGATTTTAATTCGGGCCCAAGGTATCCTAAATTTTAAAGAATTTGGTGTATTCGGGTTTTGGTATTTGGCCCATGAATTATTGGATTTTTATTTTTAGGGGTTGTTTGGTTGACAAATAAAAACATAGAAAGTTGGAAATCCTAGGAATTGAAATTCTTTGAGGTTGTGTTTGGGAAGATAGATTTCATTTCAAATGCATCATTTGAATTATGGAATTTGAGTATTTCAAATGACATGGTTTACCTTGTCATTTGAAATCCTTACCTTCATGGGTTATTACTTGGTAGTTGTATAATTTGGGCAAATTCCTCATTTGAAATTCTTGGACATCCAAACACTATAATTGTCCCAATTCCAAAATTTCAAATGAAATTCTAGAATTCAAACACACCATGAAGTTGTTTGGTTGACAAATTCATGGGAAGTAGAAATTTCCATGAATTTCCACTTCCCACAAAATGGGGGAAGTTAATTATCTAGGGGGACCTAGGTAAGTGGAACTTCCCATGGGAATTTTCACTTCCCTTAGTTAACCAAACACTTTTTAGAATTTCCTAGGAAGTTCAATTTCATGGGAAATCAATTTTCCAAGGAATTTGCAATTCCTACATTCAACCAAACGAGCCCTTAATGTGTAAATCTTATTTATAAAGTAAATGGATTCAATCTAACACATGATAAAAACAAAAACTTCTACACGTACGGACCTGTTTTCTCCAGCTTAATTTCAGTTCAGTTCATAATTTCTTTATCTTATAAACAGTTCAATTCAATTCCTAATCTCCTTATTTGATAAACATTTCAGTTCAATTCAGTTCGGTTTAGCTCCAATCAGTTCAGTTTGGTTCAACTCAGTAAATCAGAGCAGGCCCTGTGTATTATGTGTATGAAGGTATACCTATTTCAAGGAGATATGATTATAGCAATTTTGAATTCTTGATGATAATTATTTGATATACTGCGTAATGATATTCTATTTATTTCTCTAAATAGTCTATTCATTGAGTTATAAGTTAATTAATTCATATAGTTAAATAATTGATATTTTTCATCCAGCTATCCTAACTATAACTTGTTGAATATGATTGAAACTTATTCAACCATTAGTTTAAACATTTTCTTTAAATATACGATGTATAATATTATAATAAGTAAAAAAATCGGATATTGAATTGAACCATTCATATTAACGGTTACATACCTAACATGATTACACAAAATAAGATATTTCTACATCAAAAACCATCAACTTTCGAGTAGTTTTAATGTATAGTACAACCTTAGATAGTTCTATGGTACTACACTTTATCCTGTTATGGTGTAGTATAGTAGTGTGAACATGAACGTGGAAAAAGGCAAAAGAAGATAAAGCCACGCACTAGAGACGTTTAACCATGCATGCAATATATAGCCACTCCACTATCTAGATCAGCCAACTTACACACTTCTTTCTTGATTTAAAGCGCAACAAATAAACCAACAAAAAAGTACGTAAAGATTTCTAACAGAATAATAACACCGGCAATTTTTTAATTAGGACAATATAATATTAAAGCAACATTATTGCAATATTTTAATTAGAACAAGATAATATTAAAGCAACATAATGTACTTTATTATAGTTCATTTTAATTAAATTGCTCTATCTATTTTCTTACATTGTATATACAAAATGTCTGAATTTACTTAATAAGAGCAATACACTAGAGCAACATAATGTACTTTATTATAGTTCATTTTAATTTAGTTGCTCTATTTTCTTACAATTTTTTTTTTGAAAGGTACATTTTCCTACATTGTATACACAGAATGTCTGAATTTACTTACTTATAAGAGCAATTTTATATGTACTATGTAATTATAATCTATACACTTACCTTTATTTCTTATTTTTTGTCACACAGAGTTATCATTGATGCAATATAAAAAAAAATATATTTGTTGTAAACTTGCAAATAATAAAAAACAGAGGTTATATATAACACAAAATTTTATATGTGGCTGACAACATTGTGTGACCGGGGTTATTACTTGAGATATTAGGTCAGGGGTTACTCGAGGGGTTCGGTTAGGAGTCACTTGGTCAGGGGTTTTTTGAGAGGTTACTCGGTCAGGAGATACTTGAGGGGTTACTCTGTCAATAAGGTTACTTGAGGGGTTCGATCATGGATTAATTGAGAGGTTAATTGGTGAGTAATAACTTTGAGTAACCCCTGACCGAGTAACTCGAATAACCCCAGCCAGATGGTGTTACCAGCCATACAGAAAAATCTCTCAGTATATTAACTATACACCAATTGTTTCTCTCTCTATATTTTTTTTTTTCATTTTTTTTGGATTTTTTATTTTATTTTATTTTTTATGATTATTGATAATACGGAGTACAAAATATTATGATTGAAATGGAGAAAATATTATGGAGTACAAAATATGAAAATAGTCGTATAATTTTAGTTTTGAAATATCATTATTATTATTGTGGGCCCCACCTCCTAAAGTTTTAGGCTTTGACGATTACTGATGATAATGCATGTTATTGCATGGATTTTTTTACTTTTTAAACGATTCTTATCTCAAATCTCTCTCACCCGTACGTACATAAACCAAACTTTTTTTAAAAAAATTATTTTATAAATATAAATACAGTATTAATATTTTATTTTTTAATTTTCCTCTTTTCAGTCCTTTTATTTTTTAACGTTCTTTCTGCTTTTGGTTAGTCGACAACGCCCTTTTTCTTACTTTACATAGTTGTATTAATAATGTGTTGAATGTTGATTGTGTTCTTGGTATGTAATATAAGAATAATATCTAATGGTTCCAATATCTAATTTTCCTCATCTTTTGGGTTGAATGTTCAGTGGATTTGGGATCATGTTCCATTCTTGTTATGTGGATTCTTATTCATGGAATTATTCACTACGAATTGTGTTTATGCTAAATAATCTATGTTATCTACACCATGTTCGTAGACATGTACTATAAATTACATGTAATAAGACTTCTTCTATTAAGGAACTAGAATTTCCCAATGTTTAATTTTTTATACCTTTTGAAAAAAAAAAAAAAAAAAAAATAAAATAAAATAATAATAATAATAATAATAATAATAATAATAATAATAATAATAATAATAATAATAATAATAATAATAATAATAATAATAATAAAGACATATTAGCTTTTCAATGGAGTGAAATTTAGAAATAAACCTTAATGCATGGATTATTTTTTGATTGATAGAAATGATGGATTGTGAAAGTGAGGAAGGAGTTGGTGAGTTGAGGGGAGAAGTCTGAAGGGAGAATGGATTAATTAGGTTTGTATATTACTTTGTACATGCTAAATGTAGGGCCGACAATCCGTGATCCGACCAGATAATAACACGATCCGACCTCGACCCGATACTGAGAGAAACCCGACCCAAACGAAACCCGAACAACCCGAATTCTACCCGATTTGACCCAAATTTCATATTTCGTAATAACATTAAGTTTTACACTATTTTTGATAGTTTATAAGCATAACCCAAAATCGACCCGAAATCTGACCTGAACCCGATCTAATGACCCGAATTGCCACCCCTAGCTAAATGAGCTAGCAATTTTAGTTAGCTTATTTAATACTGAGTATTTTTTTTAAAAGAAAAAAAAAGGTACCTGTTTTTTTGTAATAAATGTTAATGCCAAATTGCCAATGCAACCATAATTACATGTCAATGTCTAGCGTTTCTTGTTGGTTAGATTCTTGAATTGTAGAATGGTTTTCTATTTTAATTGAAAAAAAATGTGCATATTAGGTTGACTTAAAATTTAGTTCGTTAGGTTTCAAAAAAAAAAGAAAAAAAAAAGAAAAAAAAAGAAAAAGCTGGTTAATGATTGTGGTTTGTAAAATGCTTACAATGATAAAATTGTGCATATTAGGATGATTAAGAAATTTACATTGTCTCTAAAATTATTATTTTTTTAAAAAAAGTTAATATTATGTAATTAATTATTTTATCAAAATTGTGTTACGGAGTAGTACTTAGTGTCTATATTTAATATCGATATATGCTAAATTGGCAAATTGCTAATATGCGGCTGCCATAATGGTTGGAATTTTACTGGCACAAACTAATTGTATAGAAGATGGACTACAAAGGAATTATCACCAATGAAAATTGCATTGCTTTTTGGTGCAATATTAACAAAATCTGGTATGAATTATACACGCTACCTACAAAATCTTACAGTGGCTGCAGAGCTGATTATACACACATTTACAGTATACAACTTCATCTGTCCTCTATTCATCAAACGGTATGCTTCCGCGTTCTTCCTTGTATTCATTCACCAATTCGATCAGAAATCTCAGCACAATTCTGTAACTGAACTGACCAAGCATGAGCCTATTGCACTAGCATTGACGATCTCTCCGTCCTGGGATTGAAAGTCAAATCCATTTACAAAACAAAAACATGCTTATGAGATCCTGCTATTACTCATCCTCTGATATATTGTCCATGAATAGAGGTCTACCAGGTTATGGTTGAATCTAAGCTTAAGAACGTACACATCACAGTCACCAACAAAAAGTTGATGAGTGTTTAATTATGCATTAATCCTCTTATGTATTTTGCTCATTGAATCTCATGCTGAAAGCTGAAACCTCTCTTATTGCAGTTTTTGTCATAAAATCTGAGAGCATGGCATTCGTACAGGTGAGAACACAACAGTGAGCCGAGCATGGTCAGACAATGAGTAGTCTTCAGGCCACATCCCTTTCTCGACTTCAGTGGGGAAGAGAACTGCATTTTTAACGCTGAACCCAATAGCTTGCACCGTGTCATTGACATCACAGCCATGTACACTTCCATCATCATCCGTGTCTTCTGAATTCCAGATTCTTTCCTGCAATAATAAGCAGCTTGCAATATAAGAACATCAAAAAAAGGAGATAGATTGATTTCATAATGACTATTAGTCTCTACTCTCTAGTCATTTACAATGATACAAGTTTCATTACATGGGTCTGTAACTCTGTACTTTGCTAAAATGCAGATCAGGTTTTTATGTGTTAGCAACACCAAGGTCGCTTTTAAATTAACATCAAAGTCCAATGTGAGCAAAAGTAAAGTTTGTTTTCACCTGAAATTCACTGTAATCGAGAACTCCATTTCCATCAATATCTGCCTGAACCCACAAGTCTTTCATTTCTTCCTCACTCAGTCCGTAAGGTTGGCCAGCTAAATTTAGCTGCAAAAGCAGAAATATCAGTTAGAAATGTACCAGAGAGGGTAAAAATGAGCTTGATGTTGAAAATCTATCATTACCTGTCTAAGAGCCTCACAGAAACACGAGTAAGTTATATAATCACCCCCGCTATCAGCCTTTATAAAGGCAAATGCATCATAAGCTGTCAATGAAGCTCTCCGAAGTAATGACTGTAAAGAAACAGATTGCCAATTAGATACATAGCTGAAAACTGCAACCTTGATTGCAAGCTTAAAAAGAGATTCATATTTGATAATTAATACTTTTGATATTAATTACAGTGACAATCCAGATGAATAGATCTACAGTGAGATGCAGCAAAATCAATAGATGAGAGTAGTTCACCAAGTTGATCATCATAACCAACTGATTATTATGGTTTCTGAATTTCAAAATATTATTCAATCATCAAATCATGCCATACTCAATTAAAGAAAGTCAAAGCATCAATGTATAACACTATCCTATGGAGTAATAATTTAGAAAGTATTTTGACAAAGATCTTCAATATACAGACGAGTAGACGACTAGTTTAAGAATATTGACAGAGATTTTCATTATGATTAACACTTTTAAGTTTGAAATTTAAATATCTAGTTTATTTCATAAATTTCCAACAAAAATCCCAAACTAGCCAAAACTTAAAGAATTTCGTTAGCCATAAAGAATTTCCTAAGCGTGCTAACATATAAAATTCTTATCCCCAATCCTTTTCAATGCATTAATATACTAATTTCTTGAAACAGAAAGATAAGAAACAGGTAATCAAGGCAATTACAGTCTAGCAGACATACAAGCAGGATTTAAGATACATAAAGAAAATAAAATATAAAATATACAAAGTAAATGAAGAAGGCATTCAACCTTGAACATGCTAAATACTGTCTCATTCCAGCTTGTCTTGAGAATCTTCCGACACTTGTTTGGGTTAAGAAGCCATATGAAATCAACCCCACAGATGTTTCCTCGGTGATTGCGATGGCTAACCCACTGTGTAAAAGAAATGAGTATGAGAAAAGGATGAACCCTAATTACAGCTGTATATGCAAGAAGATACATTTATTTTTGAAATAATTTAGGTGATGATCACCTTATGAGCATCAGCATCCGTGTACTGATGAGCAGTGTCATATGATGAGACAAACCCTTGAGATCTTAAAAACTTGTAAACATGTCCACGTTTGCTGCCATTCCAATCACTGCAGCAAAAACAATTTAGTGATCAATCAATGTACTAATGTAGTACCAACAACCAGCAAATCCTTAGTTGCAAAAATGTAGTACATATGTAAGAAGCTTACCCACAGAGTAGGATAGGCATGGGGTTCAGCTTAAATTCTTTCTGGTAAGATTCCACATTTTGTAGGATCTCATAAACCTGAATATTACGTAATTTCACGATTAGAGGTTTGTAATAGTCAAGAAACAACTACGCCAACCATATTGAATACAACATACTTGGTGCAATCTCACTAGGCAGAGACTAGAATCATGAGGAAACAATAAGTGAGTGTTCACTATGATAATCTCTTGTCGGACATTTGTACTTCGATTTTGATAGAAAGGGTTAACTAATTCAACATGTAGTAACTGAGCAACACGATCTCCAATATCATTCAATAGCAAATCTCGGTGATTAATAACTTTAAAGTAATCTCGATGTACTGCAGTCAGCAGACCTACATTTTCCAGAAAAAAAACATCACAGGGTCTCAGTCAGGAGGGGAAAAAAACACAAAAATTATATTGTCTGCGCTTAGCAGCACCGTAAGCATAGATACTAAAGTAGGACTACAAAGTACTATAGTCAATTAGTCATTGTTTATTTTACTAGTTGATTGAAAGTGGTGATATAACACAATTTTGTATTATGCAGCAGTTGATGACAATATTTTAGCTGGACATTACCACCAACCACTGCTGTAATAGAAATATGGAATACAATACCCAAATCATGCAACTAATTTCAATTTATTAATGGCAACACCACATGAATGCGACGTTGCAAACCTCACCAAACAATAGAATAACGTGATTTATCACCGGTCCACCGCCTTTCTCTTCCCTACCAAGTACCAACTCCTTTAGTCTTTGTATTTCCACCTCTCAGTTTCCCAAACAGCAACTTGGACCGTTAGGCAGGATGGTTGAGAATCTAACGAAATGATCATGTAAATAGAAATACAAGAAACAAGTTTCACTCCACACTATTACAGTATTAACAGTACTATAACATATAACTCACAAGAATACAGAATCACATTATCATCATAATTCAAGGCAAACTATCTAGCTAGGACGACTACAGAATAAACGTTTGACATTCAACAGCGTGAATTAATAGAACAATAGCATATGTTTGACAGCCAACAATGTGAACTAAAAGAGCAATAGCATACCGTCTCCACGATTGTTCGTTCGTGCTAGCTGGAAATTATTGTAACCAGCATCACCAAGCCGCTTTTCATACATACTGACAAGTTCTTCATTACCAACCCAAAACTCCTAAACACAGCATATAGAAATCACAAGTATTAGCACCCCAATAGACCAATAACAAATTGCAATGCACCATTAGCATACTATTGAACACAGGACATGAAAATGCCACCAACCTGAAGACAAATAATAGTAGATCTCTCACACAACAACCAATCTAATATCCTTTGATTTCTAGCTAGCCAAAATGCTCTGTAATCGCTCTCACGGCCGTCTTGATCCTGTTACCTCCCCGAAAACAATACGAAAATCAGCAATAATCACCAGAAGACCAACTGAGAATGCAATCACCAACAATATAATGAACATTATAATTCATAATAAGAACTATATTATAAAATGCTAATCAACAAACCTCATCACTCAGCCTTTTGTAGATTGGAGCAAGGATATTAAATGTAGTACATGTAATACATTGATCTGTAATTGATGAAGCAATTGCATATCTCCCAATTCTCGAAATTCTTCCCTTCAACATACTTTTTCTTCTTACCATTCCTATTTTCTCACCCTTATCTTCTTCTCCAATTACTTCCAGCGCAACAAACAACAAAAATTGATGCTCCTTACCTATAAATTCCAATTAAACCAACATACATAAATCTTATTATAATTGAAATTTTATATTTGTTTCAAAAGCAATCAAACCCAATTCAATATTTATAAAAAACATACCCAGAAACATATATTCATCATTAAAACTTCATATACAAGCCATATTACGAAGTAAATCACTAAAACATCACTCCAATGTCAAATTATATACAATTTCACAAATCCCAAAGCGACCCAGAAACAAACACCTTATGTGCATTCCAAAAACGCAGAAAAATAACAAAAAAACTCAAACCCATTAAACCCAATTGTCAAATAATGACCCCCATAATAAAACAAAACAAAACAAAACAAAAAATCTCAAAAAAAATTGGCTTTTCCCTCACCTAAAGGGTTCTTCAAACAGCAAGAAATTGTCTTTAATTTATTACAGTATTATTAGCAACAAAAAAAATCAAAAAAATTTGCAGAATTTATTTTCTGGGTTTTTGATTCTTAGATAATTGCTTAAAAATAGGAAAATTGGGAACTTTTTCGAGATTTTGGGGAAAAATATACAGAATATAGAGAGAAAGAGAAATTAGATGCCGGCCTGTTTAAGTTTAGAGAGAGAAAAAAAGAGGGAAGAAGATTTAATTGTATTCTGTAAAAATATAATTAACTGAAATACCGGTACCAATGTTCTTCTACAAATTGGTCTCTTTTTAAAGATAAGAACAGAGTAATTAATGAAGTCTCTTTCTTAATCTTAAGATAAATTTGATTGACTGCTTAATAGGTTTAATAGTGATTTATATGGCTATATTTATAGGTTTTTAAATCTATAATAAAAGAAAGAAAAATATTTGTAAAAAAAAAATTATAAAACCTACTTGTATAAATTAATAAATTCTTTTTTGGCTTTTTTGGTTGAATGAATGGACCATGTTACTTGAGCGTTAATTAATGATTATAGACTCTAATGTCCAAGTATATTTCCTACTTTAATCATTAAGTAAATGTTATCTTAGGAATAGTTATTAGTATCATAGTATGTATGTAACAAATATCTTGGGATATTTGGTTGCTTGATTATGGAAAAAACCTTGAAAAGATATTTGTTTAAGATTTAAAAAGTGGATTTAATTAGGTTAATTAGTAGATTAAAGAGAGACGATATTCTATACCTATGTTCATATAAGTTTGGACAATAAATTTATTTGTTTTTTTTTTTGGGATAAATTTACATAAGGGTAACCCAATCCATAACTCAAATAAGTTATGGGAGAAGTACATATATATGATAATATGAAATGTGACAAATGGTTAATGAATGTATGTAAACGTGTTTCCTAAGGCAATAATAATGTTTTTCAAGTAAAGATTGCCTATATTTGTGTATGTTCTATTTACCTGATTTTCACTGATTTGAACTTATATGAATTAATCTGAACTTATTAGACCTTATTAAAACTTATTTTAGTTGTAATTTGTACTTGGGTAACCCTTATCAGAACTTATTAAACCTAAACTGAACTTAACTAAACTTATTCAACTGAAATAAGTGAAAATAAAGTGAACAAATAGACCCTAAGTAGTGGTCAATTGAATTTTTGATTAAAAAGTCAGATAAAAATTTACTATTTCAATCACCTTGGCTAGAATTGAATTATCTAAAGGCAATGCATATTATGTCATGTTATAAAAGTGGGAATTGATTTTGACACCTCCATTCAACAACATGGTTTTCTATGTTCTGCTCACATAGGAGTGTGTCAAAATCAATTAGTGGTGTGCTAAAATCAATATCCAATAAAAGTGCATGCATATATACTTAGGCCATGTTTGGTAATTGGCTTTTTAATAGCTTTTTTAGGTGGTCAAACAGCCAAAAAATATGTTTGGTAATTGACTTTTTAGTCAGCGAAAAAGCTGGCTTTTAAGCCAAAATGAAAAAGCTGCTTTGAGTAGCTTTTTTGTTGGCTTTTGGCTTGTTGGCCTACAAATTATCTAATAAACAGCCAACAACCAACAATTAATTTACCAAACACTTTTATAAACAGCCAGCTAAACAACCAATTTCAAAAGCCATTATAAACAGCCAAACATTCCAGCTAGTCAAACAAGCTAAGTGAACCAGCCAACCGCCAACAGCCATTTGCCAAACAAAGCCTTAGTATACAAGTACTTTTTTTTCCACTATGGACTACCCTATCCACCCATGCATGCATGGGTGTATTGGAGCATTTTGAAAGGAAGGTGTAGATTTGTGAATAATGTTGGTTATCATAGATGCATTTTCCTAAGACATGATTATTAAAACTAATATAAAAGTGATTTTTAATCTTGAATTTCATAACAAAATCATGTCTTGATAAGTTTTATTATTAATGCAATATTCATGCATGTAGTAGTAAAGATTAATTAGTATATCAACTTTCCATTAAATTTGCTTCTTTGTCTTGCACATTTTAATTATTTAAAATCTTACTTATGATTAACATAATCAAGTATGCTATAGCTTTATGGTGACAAATAGGGAGACAATAAGCTAGCCTCGTGAATAATGTTTCAATCTTCTTCTATCTTTAACGAGCCGAAAGTTAAAGTTAATGAATTCCTTTTTACTATGGATCTTTTTGTTTACTTCATATTAAGCTAAGATCCTTAATTTATGTGATTTTGTTCAAGAACATGTCTTTTTAAATTGTAGAATGTGCCTCTTGGCTTTTGCTATAGTCGAAACGATAAAATAGAAAAAACATGTTCTTTTGCTTATTGTCCAATATACGTGATGTGCTAGCTCAATTGTCGCATTCTATATGTAGGACTATAATAGGAGTTGTTTTAAATGCCAAATAAACCACAAAGATTTATCTCTTTTTCTGTCAAGTGTTGACAAATCAAATAATAACACAAAACATGGAGTGTATAATGTGTATGTGTTACATCATTATTTGTAGATTCGTAGTAATAAATAACTCTGCACCAACAGGTATATGTCATCATCCTATTTGATAATAACAACAACAATGTCATCAATGCATGTACTTTTTATCTAGGAAACACAAAATCATTCAAAGATGAAGCATTAGCTCTTCATAGCGGCATAACACCAAAATATATTTTGTATGATTAAAGGAGACAGTCTTATAATTATTCATCCCTAAGGTGCAAGGTGCTCAAGAAGTTCCACGTCAAAATAATCACATAATCGTTGGTATTTGTTGCATTATATGACAATTTGACAATTAGAATATCCAACACATCTAAGCTACCGAAAATCAAACTAAGAAGGTCAGTTAGTTTCATATGATTCGGATATTATTGTTTTAATTGGTAAATAACTTGTCTATCTCCCATTAGTATATACGATGTATTAGGTATTTTTCTCATAAGAAGAGACTTCTAATGTTCCTATTTTCTAACCCCTCCAAAAAATCAATAAAAGACCAATTAAAATAGTGTTCAACATTGAATCCTTAAAACAAGGTAAGGTTTTATAATGTTTATTTTTAAAATGCATATGTTTGCCATCAAATAGATTAGAATTCAATTTCACAAATTATGTCAACTACGCTAATAGCAAATTGATTGATAAACTTGAGACTTTTAATACGGTGGTCAAATTGTCAAAATTATTTTGACAAAGATAAGTGTAGAGCATAGATGTTTTAGTTTATTAGTAGTTAAATTACATGTTATTTGTACATTTGGACTAAAATCTAATTTTCATTCTTTCAAAATATTTTAACATCATTATTACTTTAAAATTGTTAAAGGCACAAGTTGTACAGTTTGCTTGTCAAATTGTTGCGCTTTCAAGATGTAGATATACAATATACAGTCCAATAAGGCAATAAGTGGCTAAAGATAAAGTTTGTTCAAACTTAAAGCAATAAAAAGCAAATTAGTATAATTTGACATGAGAAAAGTTAGGTAACAGGAAAAAGGTTACACTTTAATTAATCACTTTCTGTGCTTATTACTGTTCAATTTTGTTGCAGACTTTGCACTTTTGCAGCCACCCACAAAACAACTTGCTTTGAATAACTGATTACTGCAACAATTGCACGCACGGATAATAATGATGATTCCCCTTTTTGTTCTGTATGATTAAGGGTTTAATCATTTAACTTATGAAAATTTCTCTTAGCTTTAATCACATATTATATATTTAATAAGTAAAATTTATATCCGAGTTTGATTTATATCCTTACATGATATGATATGAGAAAAATAATCATAATAATAATATTCCCATATGAAATATATACCAATGAGTCTCAAATTAATTAGAGCAATCTTTAATTGAATCAATAGACTTTTTAAAGTACTCCCGCCCCTTTTTCATAAACATCTTCTCAATTCTCAATCCTAATGACTTGGTATATAAATTTATATTACAATAGTTGAGTAGGTCAATATATATAAATACATCCAGAGATAATAATTATTGAAGTTATATTTTTATAGTGAATATGACAAGCGATTAAAAAATAACAGATGAAGTAATATATAACTTTATGCCGTATTTTATAAAAAAAGTAATGTTGTATTCCATAACGAAGTAATCTGTAATGACGGCTATTAATTTATAATTTCATCAATATACATCAAATAATTAATATATTATTGTAATTATAATATATAACAATGAACTATAGTAGTTTAAACAAAAAGCGTCCTTAATTAAATTGCCTAGTATTTCAAATGAAGAATGTATGTGGTTTAGGAGGTTTTGGAAGTCACGAAACAAAATTATTTTTTGTTTAAAAATAGTGAAAATGAAAGGGAAATAATATAAATTAAATTGAGATCATATGAACGTCAAAATTTCAAAATCTAAAATAAATAAAATGTTCATGGAGTCAACATCAATCTACCGACGTGAGAGAACATGTTTTAGCATTTTATTTGGTTTGGCACCGTCCCTCCTCTTTTGCCCCCTAATTAATTTTGATATGACGCACGGCCATTGCACCAAAATTCACTAAAAACAAATGAGTATTAGAAATAACGTTAATTCATCAACCCTAAATATATTGAAGGTTATTTTATAATTAGTACCCTTTTTGATATTAATATTTGTGGAAAAATAAATATTGTAGATTTTATAATCAAGTATCACACAATTTCATACCCTTTTTGATAGTATGAACATTATCCCTTATAATAACTTTTGTTTATTTCTTATTATTGTATCCAATGTATTAGCAATACTCCTTCTGAGAAGAGTCTTCTATTATTCATTATTTTTTCTTATCTTAAAAAAAAAAAAAAAACGAAGAAAAAGAAAAAAAAAAAGAATATTTGAAAGATTGAAAGCCTAAAAATTTATAAATCAATACAAAGATTAATCTTATAAATTTACATCAAATGTATGGAATCACCATTGCATTATTCAAATTTAATTTTAATACAAGTTTCATCAAAATACATAATCAACACATCTTCATTGGAACTCATATGTTCGTTATATAAGTAGTAAATAAATTTCTATCAAAACTTCATACAAGTAGCTAATTTTAACACGTTTCATGTCTTTTAAATACTTACTGCTGATAATTAAAGATTAAAGCATATAGTCAATCCACTAGCAGTAAAATCGATTTTTAGATTTTTTTTTAATTTTTTCAAAAAAAATCAATTTTTAGATAGTAAGTGTGAATGTGTGATGATAACATTATCATCGAAGAATATTGATAGATCGTGAATCACATTTTCTGCCCGCGTGCACGTACATAATCTGCTTGCTGTCTTAATCATAGGTGCATTACACCAAATTTAGTCATCCCATTTTA